CCCCAAAACCCCAAAACCCCAAAACCCCAAAACCCCAAGATTTTGCCTAATTTTGAATGCGAAATTAAGCTAAAAATGAGGTACGGTTTCTTTCTCATCAAGCTCTACCTGGTACTCGACATCTCCTTCAGTAGCTGTTTTGAATAACTTCTTCCTGTAAGGGTTGAAAGCACTGTTTTTCTTGATGAGATCTCCTTCTTCTTCAAGTCGCTTAGCTTCAAATTCTTTTCTTGCTTTCTCTTTAGATTCTTTCTTAAGTAATTTTCTATAAGTTTCGTATTTCTTCTCTTCATAAGTGTTAATGAGGTCTATGAATCCAGTCTTTGAGTAGAGAATCTTTCTGATCCTCGCTTTCTCTTGCTCAGACTTATTTCTTTTTCCTAGGTTGTAAGCAATACAGTTTCTCTGTCATAGAAGGGATCATCAGCCTTTCAGTGATGTAGATCAGATGCTCAGCTCCGTTCTTAGCAAGATCATTGTCAATACTCTGGATTCCTGTTGGTTTCCCATATTCTTTGGAATAGAAAATATTCCTGAAACTAGAATTTACCAAATAATCTTTATTCTTGAACTGGGAGTTTTTCACATTGTCAGGATTTCCCATTTGAGGAATCCCAGAACTAAATGGATTATGAGCTGATAAAATCAAAGAAGAGACAATTTGTGTCCGGTTTGTATTCTCCAATGCTTTTCTCATCTTCTTTAGCTGGAATCTACTCAGGCTTGAAGTTTGGAACTCTTCTTCTCGTTGATTGATTATGTCAATCCAGAATTGGTCCTTCTTCTCAATTAATTGATTTGCAACTTTCTTGCTGGTATCTGATTTAAGTTCTAGAAGTTATAGAATATGACATACTTTCATTCTGTTGTAAAAGGCCTAATTTGGTAAAGAAAGGATCATCAAATCCATAATCTTCAAAGCTGAATTCTTCTTCAAGAGGGATTTCCTCAGTCCTGCTCTCAAAGTCAAATCCTAGTCTTGGGTTATAATCTCCTTTCTCAGAGACTTCAGGGGACTCCAAGATTTCCTTGAGTGCATTTTCGTGAAGAATATCTTTATTATTAAAAGATTCTTTCTTTCCTCTAATTACAGAAGGGACTATGCTATATAACTGAGATTGCCTCGGTTGGTGCCTTTCATTCTCTGTCTCCAATTTCTTGCTATTTTCACTAGTTGTCATCCTAAATTTGTTACACCAAAGACCAACCTTTTATCTTGAAATGAAGGCTTTTTCGAGAATGTGAATCTCTTATGATCCAACACATGTGGTTTGCCTCCTGGAGGTAGGAAATCACTTTCTTCATCTGAAGAATCAGACACTTCAATTAACTTATCTTCTATTAGGTCTTCATAAGTGCTATATTGGCTGAAACCACCTTTAAGATAGAAAACCTGCATGTAATACTCTAACAGCTGGATGCGTGCACCATAATTTAGTTTAGGGTCGGTAAAAACTCGTGTATCTCTTAATTTCTTCTTCTTTGGCTTCTCAAAGTTCGTTTGGAAAATATTGAAGTAGTCACAGTTTTCCTTAACCTTTTTGTCTTCCTCAAGTGTTACCTTCTTTGGGTTCATGGAGAGTTTGGAGTAGCTATCTTTGACTTTGACAGAATATTCTTCTGCTAAGCCATAATAAGACAGCATATTAGCGTTCAAGATCTGGTTGAATATATCCATGTTAAATAACTCTGTAGCCATGTTGTAGATAGCTTTGATTAATTGAATACTTCTGGAGCTAAATCTCTTACGTTCAAGAACTGGCATAAGTGCTTGGAATACCTCAACATTGTATTGCCGGAACAACTCGAAGAAATCTCTATGTTCATCATTGGACTTGTGAATCAGAATGTAGTTTATAGAGAACAGTAGCTGCCGGAACCTCTTTATGGTAGCCATTCATCTTCTGATAATAAAGCTATCGTTTGGGTTCAAATGACTTTTTGAAGTGGAAATACTAGATTTTACTTCATTCGTCTCGGCTGACCGTTGACCAGAATTTTTACTATCATTTCTCTCGTGGTTCTTTGCATAGTCCATAAAGTCCTGTGGGAGGTCCCCAAATTTACTCTCAGAGCTAGATAAATGTGATTTATTGAGTGTATCATTATAATATGGTGAATGTGCACCTCTCCGTCTGTGAGTTCCACCCATTAAGTCTTGCCTGGACCCATTTACGTTCTCATTAAACTGGGCTGAATATCCCCAGAATATCAGTCAGTAGACTCTTTCAATATCCAAGAACTTTTTAATTGTCTTTAAGACCTCGAATTTATCACCTGTTTGCTTCTTATGTTCGACCTGGACTGATCTAAGTGGCTCTATCTCATTGATCAATAGATAGTCACTAAACTGGAGATATTTCTTAATAAAAGTTGTCAGAACTTTCTCAATGTTATTGTATGCAGATATATTCTTCTCAAGCTTAGTAAATAACATATCTATCGGCTCATTAGCGATACCAAAGTCGTTAATGAGCTTAACAAAAATATCAACGCATTTGTCATACTTCTGCTGGGACTTCTGATTCATGTCGAATATGAGCTCTTTGTTTGTGATTTTATCATACTGACGATAAAGATCGTAGTAGGAATCCTTATTTATCTCTAATTTCACTCTCTAAAACTTAAGATTGAGGCTTACCTAATGCTTCAAAATTGATAGATTCTCTGTTAGAATTCCAATTCTGAGGCTGAAATAGCCCATAATGGTCAACATTCTCATTATTGATAGACTCCTCTTCTTCTAATGAAGAATGTGAAGAGGAGGAAGACAGAAAAGATTGTGGATTGAACCTTGCTAGAGAAGTTATTAAATCATCCTTACAGTCGTACTTAAGACTACTTGCTGGGTACTCACTCTCGACCTCAGAAATATCCCTTAATTCATAACTAGTCATCTTCAATAAATTATATTTCTTATGGGGTTTTGGGGTTTTGGGGTTTTGGGGAGAT